TTATTTTATTTCTTAGATGGAGCCTCTGTCTGTTGCCCAGGCTGGAGTGCAGTGGCGTGATCTCGACTCACTGCAGCCTCTGCCTTCCGGGTTCCAGTGATTCCCTGCCTCCACCTCCCAGGTGGCTGGGATACGGTCGTAGGCTTGAGCCACCGCACCTGGCTCTTTGTGTACTTTGTCTCATTCACCCTAACAACTAAACTCCCAAGCTTGTTAGGACAATGATCACAAGCCCTGGGGCATGGGAGAAGGAGATTACTAAGTATCCGTGGACTCCAATGCAGGGAGGTTTCTTCCATGGCAGGATAGGGCAGGAACCAGAGCCTAGTCTTGGTACTTTCCAGGGTGACTCTCAGGGTGGCTTACACACACGCACACACTTACACTCTCTCTCTCTCTAAGAAATGCTGTTGATTGATAGGTTTAGCCTCTGAAGGGAGTATCTTCTCTTCCATAATATTCCAGCACAGAATGGAATTTTGAACCAAATGGGAATCTGAACTACAAGAATCTAATCAAAATTTTAAAACCTGAGTGTTAGGTTCTTGGCACATCTGAAAGCACCTAGCTTAATGTCTGAGATGTAGGTATGTTCAGTAAATGTGGATCTTATCTCTCTCTCACACACACACACACACACACACACACACACACACCAGCGAACCATGTAACAGGTTCTGAGACAGCACAGCCGGTTACATCTGGTTTCCAGCAGGTCTTTTTCTTTCCTTCTTTCTTTCCTTCCTTCCCTCTCTCCCTCCCTCCCTCCCTCCATCCCTCCCTCCTTCCTTCTTTCTTTTCCTTTTCTTTTCTTTTCTTTTCTGTTCTGTTCTGTTCTGTTCTTTTTGACAGAGTTTCGCCCTTGTTGCCCAGGCTGGAGTGCAATGGCACGATCGCAGCTCACTGCAACCTCTGCCTCCTGGGTTCAAGCAATTCTCTTGCCTCAACCTCCCGAGTAGCTGGAATTACAGGCATGCACTGCCACGCCTGGCTAATTTTGTATTTTTAATAGAGATGGGGTTTCTCCATGTTGGTCAGGCTGGTCTTGAACTCCCGACCTCAGATGATCTGCCCACCTTAAGTGCTGGGATTACAGGCGTGAGCAGGTTTTCTTTATGGATCCATTGATGTTACTTAGGGGTAACATGTAGAAAACTTGTTCCACGGGGCAAGGTGAGCAGATCCTTGTGATTAAGGGGCTGCCCAATGGGCATTCCTGGACTTGGCAGACAATGACTATGTCCCCCGCAATGTTATGCTAAAATGCCACAAGACATCCAAAGAAATGCTTTCTTCCTATGGGGGCAATGCAAATATTGCCATTTTCCTGTTTCAAAGAACAACAGAACATTTTCTTGGTAATCTCTCACCAAAAGTTATTATTTTGAGGGGGTTAAGAATGTCTTTATCTTTTAGAGATATATGTTGAACTATTTATGGGTGAAATGACATGATATCTAATGTTCATTAAAAATGATTTAATTGGCCATGCAAGGTGGCTCATGCCTATGATCCCAGCACTTTGGGAGGCCAAGGCAGGTGGATCACCTGAGGTCAGGAGTTTGAGACCAGCCTGGTCAACATGGTGAAACCCTGTCTCTACTAAAAAAAAATACAAAAAGTAGGCTGGGCGTGGTGGCTTATGCCTGTAATCCCAGCACTTAGGCAGGCTGAGGAGGGCGGGTCATCTGAGGTCAGGAGTTTGAGACCAGCCTGGCTAACATGGTGGAACCCCGTCTCTGCTAAAAATACAAAAATTAGCCAGGTGTGGTTGTGGGCACCTATAATCCCAGCTATTCTGCAGGCCAAGGCAGGAGAATTGCTTGAACCCAGGAGGCAGAGGTTGCAGTGAGCAGAGATCACCTCATTGCACTCCAGCCTGGGCAACAAAAGTGAAACTCCGTCTCAAAAAAAAAGAAAAAAAAAATTAGGGAAAAGGAGGAGATGCAACAAGAGTGGCTCTGTGTTGATGGTTATTGTAACTTGGTGGCAGATATGTGGTGATTCATGGTACTAGTTTGTGGAACTTTTGTGTATATTAGAAATTTGCCATAACAGAATTTTTTTGTTGTTGTTAGAGCACAGATTTTAGAGCAGAACAGCCCTGGGTTCAAATTCCCTCTGGGTTCAAATTCCTACTATGTTTTGTCTGGGCGACCTTCCTATTTAAGTCTTCTGAACCCTGTTTCCACATCTGGAAAATGCTCATAAGAATAATTCTTAGCTCACAAATTTGTTGCAAGTATACAAAGCACTTAAGGCATAGCCTGGAACATGATTGGCAATCAATAATCCTATGATAGCTTTATTTGAGCCTAACCATGCTAGCTATATAAACTGTACCAGCTATGGTTTGAATGTCCCCTCCAAAACTCATGTTGAAATTTAATTGCCATTGTGATGGTTCTAAGAGGTAGGATTATTAAGAGGTGATTAGGTCATGAGGACTCCACCCTTATGAATAGGTTAATGTTGTTACTGCAGAAGTGGGTTTGCTATTGAGAGGGCAGGTTGTTATAAATGCGAATTTGGCCCTCTCTTGCTTGCCTCTTCTTGTGCTCTCTTGCCCATCTGCCTTTCACTATGGGATGAAGCTGCGCAAAGGACCTCACCAGATGCTGGTGCCATGCTCTTGGACTTCCCAGATGCTGGTGCCATGCTCTTGGACTTCCCAGCCTCCAGAACTGTGAGCTAAGTACATATTTATTCCTAATAAATTTCCCGGCATGTGGTATTCTGTTATAGTATCATAAAACAGATGAAGACACCAACTTTTGGGATCAACCTGCAATCATGGTTACTGGCAGAAGGCTGGACTGAGGTACAAGTACAAATTATATACTTCAGACTCTTTACTGAAACTCCTGGAGGGCATTTATTTTATTATTATTACCTTATTTATTTTTTAGAGACAGGATCTCACTCTGTCACCCAGGCTGGAAGGCAGTGGCACAATCATGGTTCATTACAGCCTCAACCTTCTGGGCTCAAGTGATCCTTCTGACTTAGCCTCTCAAGTAGCTGGGACTTCAAGTGCATGCCACCATGCCCAGCTAATTTTTAGTTTTTGCACAGATGGCAGGGGGTCTCTCTATGTTGCTCAGGCAGGTCTTGAACTCCTGGCCTCAAGCAATTCTCTTATCTTGGCCTCCTAGTGCTGGTGTTATAGGTGTTTTGAGCCACCATGCCTGGCCTCTTTTATTATTTTTCAATGTGGAAAGTAGAGATGAGAGAGGACGGGGCAATGGTGGGGTTTGTTCCTGGGTTCACAGCTCTGCTGTCACTGTGAGGGAGCTACAGAGGTGGGGAGGGGCAGACCAGTAAAGCAGATACCTGAAATACAATGTCATTTGCAGGTCCAGCCTCTTGTTTTCCATCCTGGACATTCTTCCATTAGCAGGCAGCCAACACTTCCCAGGCTGTCCTGGGACTCAGGGTTCTGTCTACCTGGGCACAGTTTCAGGCTCCAGCTGGCAAGGCAGCCCCATCACTCTGCAGAGGAGCATGTGCTGGAATAGGAGACAGTGAGATCACAGGAACTCATTAGCATCCCATATTCATTTTCTTTTCCTTTCTAGGCCTTCTCCCCAACCCTCCATCCCACACCCACCTCAGTCATTTTTTTTTTTTTTTCCTTAAATTAGCTGGGGGAATCTGTCAAAGCCAGTTCAGGAGCTTGCCTTTTCTGGTGTCTTTTCTAAAGCTATAGCATTCAGCCCTCATCAGATGGGAACCTATCAGCTCAGCAGGCAGATAATTATTCTTTCAAGGGTGGGAGGCCCTACCATGAATGGAAATTCAGGCATTTCTGCAGCTGAGGCCCCAAAGCCCCATCATGGAAGCAGTGTATACACAGCAGACAAGCTTTACCTGGGCAAGTCTGCAGGAAGTGCTGGTCAGTGGAGGTGGGAGGAGTGAGATACAGGATGGATTCATGTTCCCTTCACCATGAAGCAGTGTGGAACCTCCTGGACCCACTCCTGAAGTCTCTCTTTAGGGACTAGTGCAAGCCAGCCCAGTTTTGGTCTGGCTGAACGGGGCCATCTCCTCTGTGAGGATCCAGAACTCAAGATCAGATATTAGAATGCACAGATTTCTCCTCATTTGATGGAGGAAAATTCTAATAACCAGCTGCCAACAGTAGAGCATGCTGCCAGAAAGGTAATGAGCTCCCTGTTGTTGGAAGTATTCAAGTAGATGCTGGCTGGCCACCTTCCAAGGATATTGCAAAAAGAATACCTGACATGAGTGAGAGTTTGCCTCTTATGTCCTCCAAAGTCTCTTGTTGGTTCTCATGGTGTAAAGGGTGAACTTGGAGTCACCATAGGCCCAGGGTTCAAGTCCTGGCTGTACAGCTATCTGGCTAGATGGCCTTGGGCAAGACACTTAATTTCTTTATTAAATGATATAGGTATATTTTATTTTTCTGATAATGGGCGATAATTGTAAAAAAAACAATTCATTGGCTGGGCGCGGTGGCTCAAGCCTGTAATCCCAGCACTTTGGGAGGCCGAGGCGGGTGGATCACGAGGTCAGGAGATCAAGACCATTCTGGCTAACATGGTGAAACCCCATCTCTACTGAAAATACAAAAAAATTAGCCGGGTGTGGTGGCGGGTGCCTGTAGTCCCAGCTACTCGGGAGGCTGAGGCAGGAGAATGGCATGAACCCAGAGGCGGAGCTTGCAGTGAGCCGAGATTGCACCACGTGCACTCCAGTCTGGGTGACAGAGAAAAAACACCAAAAAAAACCCAGTTTATTATGGACATTTTCTATCCTAATATGTATAGTTTTAATGTATCTTTTTTAATTTTTAATTTTTGTGGGTACATTTTAAAATTTTGTGGGTATATATATACAGTAGGTGTATATATCAGGTACATGAGATATTTTGATATAGGTATATAATGTGTGATAATCACATCAGGGTAAATGGGATGTCCATCACCTCAAGCATTTATTCTTTGTGTTACAAATAACCCAATTACACTCTTTTAGTTATTTTATTTTTTTATTTTTTGAGACAGGATCTTTCTCTGTCATCCAGGCTAGAGGGCAGCGATGTGATCACGGCTCACTGCAGCCTTGACCTTGCTCAAGCAATCCTCTTACCTCAGCCTCCAGAGTACCTAGGACCACAGGCGCCTATCACCATATCTGGCTAATTTTTGTATTTTTTGTACAGATGAGGTTTCACCATGATGCCCAGGCTGGTCTTGAACTCCTGGATTCAAGCAATCCTCCTGCCTTGGCCTCCCAAAGTGCTGGGATTACAGGTATGAGCCATCGTGCCCAGTCTTCTGTAATTATTTTAAAACATACAGTTAAATTATTATTGACTATAAGTCATCCTGTTGTGCTATCAAATAAAGATCTTATTCATACTTTAACTATTTTTTGTACCCATTAATTATCTCTGATAAGGATAGGAGGCAGGGAAATTCTGGGCAGAAGAGGGCAGGTCCCTGGTAAGGGCCCCATCCTCAAGCCTGGAACTGTGGCCCTAAGTGAGAACATGCATTCCTGTTTTCCTGCTCAAATGTTGCCTTTTATAAAACCACTCATGGCCCGCCCTGCCCCCATCCTCTGTCCATAAACACCCCAGGCTCTGCCAGCAGAGAAGAGGAGAAGAGGAGAAGAAGCGGGATGTCTGAGACTATGGTTGGACGTTAGAGAGAAGCAGCTTGACTTCAGAGGGATGGCTTGACAACATTGCTTCGGAGAGGAGTGCGGTGGGGGATGGCTGGACTCCGGGGAAGGTTATCTTCCCACTCCATCCCCATTTCTGCTCCCCTTCCCACTGAGAGCCACTTTCATTGGCAATAAAATCCCCCGAACTTACCATCTCCAATTTGTTTGTGTGACCTTCAGGTGCGGGTGCAAAAGACTGTCACACTGACCCTCCACTGAGCTGTTAACGCTTAAGCCGTCCGTGGATGACTAAGCTAAAAGAGCGCTGACTGTAACTCTTTCTGGGGTTTCAGGGGTCATGGGTATCTCCCTAGACGCTACTGCGGTACTACACAGAGCTTTGCTTCTGCTGGCACCCAAAAGTGCTCGCCCTGGCTCCTGCACTCACTCACCTGTACTTCCCCTCCTGCAAGGGGTGGAACAAAGCAGGACTGAGCCAGTGGAGTCTGTCCTTGCTGGCACCGGTACCCTAGCGGCCGGCTAGTTCTAGTGCCCGTGCACTCTGGTTCCCACCAGTGAAGGGGTCGGGGAAATTTCCTGCTTCATCCTCACTTCCCACCCACCCCTGCCTGCCCTTCCCTGCCTCTGGTAACCCTCTGGCTACTTTTTATCTCCATGAGTTCAATTGTTTTAAAATTTTTAGATCCCACAAATAAGCGTGAACATGTAAAGTTTGTCTTTCCTGGCTTATTTCACTTATCCTTTTTAATAGTTATGTGCCTAAGTCCTTTAAACCAGTGGTCCCCAACCTTTTTAGCACCAGGAACTGATTTTGTGGAAGACAATTCTTCCAAGAACTGGATTGCTGGGGATGGCTTTGGGATGAAACTGTTCCACCTCAGATCATCAGGCATTAGATTCTCATAAGGAGTGTGCAATCTAGATCCCTGGCATGCATAGTTCACAATAGGGTTTGTGCTCCTATAAGAATCCGATGCTGCCACTGATCTGACAGGATGCGGACCTCAGGTGGTAACGCTCCGTTGGCTGCCACTCACCTCCTGCTGTGTGGCTCAGTTCCTAACAGGCCGTGAACTGGTGCAGGTCTGTGGTCCAGCAGTTGGTGATCTCTGCTTTAAACCATGGCTTCCTCACCTGTAAAATGGAATAATAATGAAATTGTGAAGACTACATAAATATTAAATAATGAAACACATAACATGCTTAGCATTTAGTTAAGCATCTAAAACATGTTGATAGGCTGGGTGCGGTGGCTCACGCCTGTAATCCCAGCACTCTGGGAGGCCGACGCGGGCGGATCAGCTGAGGTTAGGAATTCAAGACCAGCCTGGCCAACATGGTGAAACCTCACCTCTACCACAAAATACAAAAATTAACCAGGCCTGGTGGTACATGCCTGTAATCCCAGCTACTCAGGAGGCTGAGGCAGGAGAATCGCTTGAACCTGGGAGGTGGAGGTTGCCATGAGCTGAGATCGCATCACTGTATTCCAGCCTGGGTGACAGAGTGAGACCCTGCCTTGAAAAAAAAAAAAAAAGACAAAAAAAACAAAAACGTGATTGATCATTATTTGAAACCAGCCCTGTCTCATAGAAATATGATGTAAGTTTCAGATGTAATTTAAAAATTTTTTGTAGGCACACTAAAAAAGTAACAAACAATAAACAAGTGAAATTATTATTATTATTTTTTGAGGCAGAGTCTTGCTCTGTCACCCAGGCTGGAGTGCGGTGGCGCAATCTCGGCTCACTGCAACCTCCGCCTCCCAGGTTCAAGCGATTCTCCTGCCTCAGCCTCCTGAGTAACTGGGATTACAGGCATGAGCCACCCCAACTGGCTAATTTCTTGTATTTTTAGTAGAGATGGGGTTTCACCATGTTGGCCAGGCTGGTCTTGAACTCCTGACCTCAGGTGATCCGCCTACCTCAGCCTCCCAAACTGTTGGGATTACAGGTTTGAGCCACTGTGCCCCACCAAATTAATTTTAATAATTTACTTAACCCAACATACTCAAAACATTATTATTTTAACATGTAATCAGTGTAAAAATTAATGAGATATGTTTACAATCTTATTTTTGTACCAAGTTTTAAAACTCTGTTGTGTTTTTTGCACTTACAGCACATCTCAGTTTAGACTGGCCACATGTTAGGTGCTCAATGGTCACATGTGGCTAGCAGCTACCATATTGAACAGTGCAGCACTAAATCTTCCATCTTCGCTTTCCTTTGATTTAGTAACTCTGACAGCGTAGTCTGTGTGGTGTTATGATATATATTGGTTTTCATCTATGGTTCTGAAACTGCCATTGCAAAATTATAACTGAGACAGTGAAAGCAATCTGACCTAACCAACTCCATCTTGCTTCTAACCTCCAAGCTGTCCATGTTCAAACCTAAGAGTAGGCCAAACTAACTTTGGGAGGAGCTTAAATTTATAGTTTGACTTTGAAACAAAGATGATTAACAGCTCATTCCCCTTAACAAACCCCCTTCTTGCCTCTGGACTAGGCTGCCTTTGTAAGACTAACAAATTAGCCGAAAGATTAGCAATTATTGTTTAGGAGTCAGGCAGCTGGAGGCTACAAGATTCTGACCCTCCTCAAATTGCTCCTGGCGATAACATCACTATTGTTAAGACCTAAGATCAGATATATTGCAGATTCTGCACTTGATGGATCAGCTGGCATCACCCAGATCAATAAACTGGCTCATGTGATCTTGTGGACCCCACCCAGGAACTGACTATGGAAGAGGACAGCTTTAACTCCCTATGATTTCATCTCCCACCCAACAAGTCAGTACTTCCAACTCACTGGCCCCTCCACCCACCAAATTATCCTTAAAAACTCTGATCCCTGAATGCTCGGGGAGACTGATTTGAGAAATAATAAAACTCTGGTCTCCCACACAGCCGGCTCTGCGTGAATTACTTTCCCTATTGCAGTACCGGTCTTGACTAATGGGCTCAGTCTAGGCAGCAGGCAAGGTGAACTCGTTGGGCTGTTCCTGGCTCATACTCCCAGAGCCCTTCTTACAGTCTTGTTAGAACGTTAGAACGTTGGGTGTGTTAGGCCTCAGGGGCAGGCCTCTGACCTTCTCCTGCCCTCCTTTCACTTGAATGTTCCCCTAATTTCATGACTGTGAGTCTGAAGACCACACCCTGGGGGAAGGAAGGCTGACATCATGAGGCTTCCATAAAAACCCAAGAGGCCAGGCTTGGTGGCTCAGCCTCTAATCAGCATTTTGGGAGGCCAAGGCAGGTGGATTGCTTAAGGCCAGGAGTTTGAGACCAGCCTGGGCAACATGGAAAAACTCCATTTCTATGGAAAATACAAAAAAGCAACTGGGCCTGGTGGTGCACGCCTGTAGTCCCAGCCACTCAGGAGGGCTTGAGCCTGGGAGGTAGAAGTTGCAGTGAGCCGAGATTGCGCCACTACACTGAAGCCTGGATGACAGAGCAAGACCTTGTCTCAAAAACAAAACAAAACAAGCCCCAAGAGGACAGGGCCCAGTGAGCTTCTGGATTTCTGGATCGCTGAACACTGGAGCTTCCTGGAGGGTGGTGGGCCCAGGGAGGGCGTGGAAGCTCTGCACCCCTTCCCCCACACCTCACCCTACATGTCTCTTAGATGGGATACTTCCCTCCACCCCCTTCAGAAGTGGGAACTGAGTGGCTTGTTGCACTCAGCCTGTCACTGGCCACTCCTTATGGGAGGGAAAGTGTGAGTGAATGAGTGTGGAGGGGACTAATGCTGGAACAGGCCATTCGCTCCTCTCTGCCTGGAGCAGGCTTTGTGCAGGCCCCGCACAGTGTCCAAGCATGTTACAAACAATGCTCTTTCAGTCCTGCCATCCAGGGGTGGCCAAGTGCCAACCAGCTCAGTGGAGGGTCAGAGTGGGAGCCCCTGCCCTTTTGGCACCCAGATTCTTGTCCAGCATCCAGGAAGAATAAGGTCACATGAACTGTTTGAAAAGTGATGAATGGCCGGGCGCAGTGGCTCATGCCTGTAATGCTAGCACTTTGGGAGGCCGAGGTGGGCAGATCACTTGAGGTTAGGAGTTTGAGACCAGCCTGGCCAACGTGGTGAAAACTCGCCTCTACTAAAAATACAAAAATTAGCCAGGCGTGGTGGCGTGCGCCTGTAGTCCTAGCTACTCTGGAGGCTGAGGCACAAGAATTGCTTGAACCCGGGAGGCGGAGGTTGCAGTGGGCCGAGATCGTGCCATTACATTCCAGCCTGGGAGACAGAGTGAGACTCCATCTCAAAAAAGAAAAAAAAAAAAAAGGTGATGAATGAGGAAGACTTTATCGAGCAGTGGGTGACTCTCAGTGGAAAGGAAGGCTGGAAAGGGGATGGGAAGGTGATCTTTCCCTGAAGCCTGGCCATCTCCAGCTGGGCCCCTTTCGGAAGCTGCACCATCTGAAGTTAGCTGCATCTATCCGTAGCCTCCGACGCTCAGGTGCTTCTCTGCTTACAGCTCAGCTAGCTTGTGTCTTGATGCTCAGCCGCTTGTGTGGCTCTGCCACCTGAAGTATTTTATGGGAACAGGATAGGGCAGGGCAGGCCAAAAAAGGCAACATTTGGGTGGAAAAATGAGGTCAGCTGTTTTCATCTAGGGCCATGGTTCCAGGCTTAAGGGTGGAGTTTAGTTGGGAGCCCAGCCCTTCTGTATCATCTTCATCTGTATCTTTTGTAATATACCTTCTAATAAACCAGTAAATTTAAGTGTCTCCCTGAGTTCTGTGAACTGACCCAGCAAATTAATTGAACTCGAAAAGGGGTCATGGGAAGCCTAACTTGAAGCCTGTTGGTCAGAAGTTCTGGAGGCCTGGACTTGCGACTGGTGTGGGAGTGGGGCAGTATTGGACACTGAACCCCCAGCCTGTGGGATCTGACACTATCTCCATGTACATAGTGTCAGAACTGAATTAGAGGACACCCAGCTGCTGTCCGGTCCTTGGTATGTGGAGGCAAACCTCCACACATGTGGTCACAGAAGCCTTCTCTGTTGATTGTTGTGGTGTGGAGTAGAGGAAAAACACAGTTAGAGAGAGTTTGAGCTGGGAACAGTGGATATAACCTAATCTACATCATGACACCACAGCCTGCTTACCCATGGATTAGGTTCGTGTGGTTCATTGCTTTCATGTGATTTCTTTCCTTCTTTCTTTCTTTTTTTTTTGAGATGGAGTCTCACTCTCTTGCCCAGGCTGGAGTACACTGGCATGATCTCGGCTCACTGCAACCTCTGCCTCCAGGGTTCAAGTGATTCTCCTACCTCAGCCTCCCGAGTAGCTGGGATTACAGGGGCCCACAAACCATGCGTAGCTAATTTTTGTTTTTTAGTAGAGATGGGGTTTTCACCATGTTGGTCAGGCTGGTCTCGAACTCCTGACCTCAGGTGATCCACCCGCCTCGGTCTCCCAAAGGGCTGGGGTTACAGGCGTGAGCTACCACACACGTGCCTCATGTGATTTCATCTTGCCTCACTAACTCCACAGTAGGTACTGTAAATGCCACTAGTTCTTGTTTTCTGTATTTCCAAAACTACTTTCCTGGCCCAGGATAGGTGCCAAGAAGCGCGTTTGGACTGACATCCTTGGGAATCCAACAGTGCGTAAAGATACCACTTCCTTTCCACTGCTGATGTGGAGCACATATGAGGCGCTAAGCACCGCCTACACAGATGAGCCATTCCATAAATGTAGCTACTCTTATTGTTCTCCTTATTGGTGGTGGGCAGAGTTGAAGTTCTGATGAGATCTTCTCAGAAGGGTTACACCGCAGGGGGGCCTGGGAAAATCATTCAGTGCTCTGAGCTTCAGTGTACTTCATCCTTGAAATGGGATGTGAATTCCCACCTTGCCAACCTTAAAGAACTATTAGGATGGTGCAAAAGTAATTGTGGTTTTTGCCATTAAAAGCATTAGCAAAACTGCATTACTTTTGTATCACCATGCCCAGCTCATTTTTTGTATTTATTATTATTATTTTTTTCCGAGACGGAATTTCGCTCTTGTTGCCCAAGCTGGAGTGCAGTGATGCGATCTCGGCTTACTGTAACCTCTGCCTCCAGGGTTCAAGTGATTCTCCTGCCTCAGCCTCCCGAGTAGCTGGGATTACAGGCACC